TCCATTCTGACTTGGCTTTACTGATCATCTGGGGTCTGGTGTTGTCAATAGCGTGCTCAGGATTGACCTTCTGGAAGCTTGTGAAAGGTCCAATGTCAAGAACTTCCCACATCTCATCATGCAGAGAACAGAGATGTGCTTTCATCCGGATCCTCCAGTCATCAAACTTAAGATCTGAGAACATAAGGTTCTTGGCAAGGGCGTGATCCATTATATCAGATAGAAATGAGGAAAATAACAGAAAAACAAGTGGATCTTTGTTCAATAAAATAACCTAAGAGATTATTAGAACAAGGAGGCTCTGATACCACTTGTTGGTCCCGGTTGTACTGGATACAGTCTAGAGGGGGGGTGAATAGACTGTATTGGTTTTTAGCTTTTTAAACTAAGTACCAGATTTTACAGAATAGCCTGTTCTGTTGACAGAACAGACTGGCAGCGGATAGGGTTCTGTTAGGGGTTCTGTTGATTTAGCCTCAGAGAAGCAAAGGCAGTAGGCCTTCTGTTAACTCGTAGGACAAGTTCTGCTGAACACAGATACCAAGTCTAAGGAGTTAGACAGTTCTATCTAAGTGCAAGTATTAAAAACAGTAAGTAAATGACACCAGGGATTTTTATAGTGGTTCAAGGAACAACTCGTTCCTCTAATCCACTGTTCCACTAAGCTTGTAAAAACGACCGTTTACAACGCCTTAGTCCTAGCACTTAAGAAGCTCTCCACGTCTTCTTCAAGCCTAGATGTCTCCTGGGATGCACTGCTTGGCTTCCTTTAAGACTGGTCCTTTCACTGAGCTTCCCGGAAGTATCACCACTTCACTACTCCAGTTACTTGGACGTCCTTCTTGTAACAAGAAGAGTTTCTGTTGAAACAGGGGTTCCTCCAACTTGCTTCGTTACAAAAGATTTGTAGATGAAGTGCTTGAAGTTGTTGAAGAACTGTTGGAACCTTGCTCTTGTTGGATTTGATGATATGAAAGTATATTCTTTCCAACTTGTGTCTCTCTTGTTGAGGATGAAGAGTTTGAATCTCAAGAGGACCTTTTTGCCTTGAATAATTTGAATGTGTTTTTCTCGCAAAGGATGTGGTGAAGTTGGCAAAGTTAGCAAAGCAAAAGTTATTCCTTTGTTCTTCGAAGAGTATCTTTTATACTTAGGGTTGTCTTCCCGTTGGAGGTGAAGGAGGACAACTTCATTTAATGCGTGTATTGTTGACTTGACCGGTTGGACCCACTGAATTCGGCGACTTGCTATTTTGAGAAGATTCTTTCCAAAAGGTGGTCAATTATTTGCTTTAAATATCTTCTCGTACGTATCCGCATTAAATGAGCATTTAATGCGCGTACTGTAGCTTTTCCGTTGAAGTCTTCTAGCCGTTGGAGAATCTTCCGTTGATTTCGCCGGCTTGGAAGTAAACTTGAAATTTTCTAAGTGTCAGGCCTTCTGGTCTCTTTAGCAGAGTGTTCACCAGAGAAGGTCATGAGCACTTCTGTTGTAACGGAAGTCAGCAGAGGGTCTCCGGTCCTTCTGTTCTGTTAGAGGGCAACAGAGGACCTAAGTGCTTCTGCCTTAGTGAAGTCCAACAGAGAGTCAGGAGGACTTCTGTGAAGGCACTATCACCGTACCAGAGGGCCAAAAGGGCTTCTGTCTGGAGGTCTTCTGTCAGTCGACTATACTAGAACAATTACAAGGAAATTTCTAATACAAATTTTCTAAGGGGTAATTTCTAAAATCCTATAGCATCATCAAAATCTAATTACATTTATTCCTTACACATGGGTTCCCCGAGAAGGTGAAGGAATGGGTATTTGGTTGATGGAGTGGTGAGAGAGGGCGGTGGAAGATATTGGTTGGGTATGGGAGATGAAGGGTTCGGGTGTAGGTTGGGGTGTGGGTTGTTCAGGCTGAACCGCTTGGGTGGTCCTAAATTCCTGTGCAAGAGCGGTCATTGCTTCTTGCACCCATGGTTTGATGGTGGAATCCAGGAAGCGATTTAGCAGAACGTTGACATCTTCAAAGGTGGGGTGTCCAGTTACGGGGGTTGTAATTGTTGTCACAGCATCAGTGAAGATAGCTCATGTGTGGCCTGCGTGCAATGATGGAATCATTGAAGGCATAGCAGGACTTCCGACCGTCATAGCTTGCGCTCTGGTCGTTGCGTTCAGGGTGTGTGCACCTGTATGTGCTGTGAATAGTGTAGGTGTCCTAGAAAATGAAGAAAATGTTGGAAATGTGACACCTAGACTCGATGTGTTTGAAGGAGGGGTTTTGACCTCGGGCGATTGGTCAATAGGTCGTTCAACTGATTCGGAAGGAACCAGAGAGGTGGGTGTGTCCCGTGTTGTTGAAACGATAGCCTGTTAGGAGGCTATCAAGTGGCAGGGTGAGGGCTGTGCATGCGCAATTGATCCAGATGCTGCGAATTTTACTCGGGAACCGAAAAGATCGGCTCCTATACTTAGGGATTCAGCTCGGCTTATCTGGATAAACGGATCACAGCCAGCGAATATGTGCTCGTCAGCCTTATCTATGAGGCTCTCTCTGATGCGAGGCTGAGGCTTTGCCTTAGAAGATTTGTCATTCTTGATCTTAGCCCGTTTCTCTCAAATGATGGCATCCTTAGAGTTCTTGATGGCATGGGCTGCTTCATCATGATCCACCCCCAAGAGTAGGTATCTCTAAAACTGGAGAGGAACCCTGTATTTTTCCTATGGCACAAAAACTCAAAAACCTCCAGAAAACTCTTGAAAATGAGAGAGAGAGAGATTTGAAACAGAAAAGAGAGGTTTTGAGAGTAACTGGCAGGAACTTCTTCAAAAGTTCAATGAATTAAGTGAGCAATACCATGCTAAAACAACCTCTCAACCTGCTTCTAAAAATAAGCCTGAAAACTCTCACACTTCACCTGATAAAACTAAGCTTTCAAAAGGTTCGTCCACTCATCACTCTTCTCCTTTGCTCACAGGAAAAGAAGTGAAGAAGGAAGGAGAAGAGAGGAACGAGTGGAGGAAGAAGAGGAAGGAAATCGCAGAAGGGAAAAAGAAAGTTTTTGAGAATAAAGTCAGCTCTAGATCCAGTTCTATTTTGTACCCCAAAGTTAAATGTAATTCTGTCTCTGAGAAACACACTCCTAGTAGTTCAGTCTTGAGTCCCAAGCTGAATATTTCTGAGACATCTTTTGGACATCGTTCATTTCATAATTCGAGTATTGCTTATGGTTATTCTGTTCCAGACCCTCATAATTATGAATGTGATGTGAATGTTGTTAAAGCAAAGCCTCACAGAAAGCTCAAACCGACCAGGGAAACCGAGAACAGAACTTCTAAGGGAATATTTTGTATACCTGATATGAAATATCCCCTCCGAGTTCATTCAAGGAAACATCTTAATCAGCTTTCTAAGGAGGAAATTTTTAAAATCCAACTTAAGAAACAACCATTCAATCACAAAGCACATGTCTACTCTCCTCCCACAACAAATAACAGGTGGGTCCCCAAAAATTCACATTCATAAATACTCCAAAATTTCTTTATACTAAAATGCACTCCAAAGTCATACTAGGGATTAAATCCCAAAATATATCTCCAATATTTCACAAATTCATAGTCACCCAAAATAGTACACATTTAAAATTCACACTTAATCACATAATCACCATTAATTTTCTCTAATTATTATCTAATTACTTTATTTACGTAACCGAATATATTTATTTTCCTTATTTTATTCAAACATTATTTTTAGTTCAGAATATTATTTTTCAATCTCAGTGATTTATTTATTTCACCATTAATACTAATATTTCCTTATTTAATTACTTAACTAGTTTTATATGGCCTAATTTAAACAAATAGACTAAGAATCGACTTTATAAATTAGTAACCGTCCATAAATATATTTTGGGTCTATATTTGACCTAGGTTGTCCAGATATCTATTTTATAACTATTTTCCATAATTATTCCTTTAATTTCATATATCTATTAATCGGTTTAATTACAATTAAATATACTAAACCTTATTTTTATTAATTATAAATGGTCCATAAGGTCCTAGTTAGTCATATATTTATTCTAGTTTACTACGATATTTATTTCATAATTATTTTCGTCATTTAGTTAATTATTTACTAAATGTGTATAAATTGGCCCAATTTCAATTAAATCAATTAAAAATAGCTAAAAATATTATTTTCCATTTCTGGTTGGTCCGAATATGTATATTTATACTAGGTATTTAATTCATATTTTTCCAGATTTTATTTATTTCATTTACTATTTTATTTTTAATTTTTATTGCAACTGGGCCGAACTGGGCCGAACTGGGCCGAACTGGCCCAGATTATTAACGTGCTACAAAACATCAAATCTGTACACGATTGATCTGAAAAGCGTACAATCCACCACTTCCATCTGTCTGCTGTCCAAAGCTTCCACAGAACAGAACAACCTTTGGCACAGACGACTTTCCCATCTGAACTTCAAGCATCTCTCAATCCTGTCCTCCAAGAAACTTGTGAAGGGGCTTCCTCTGTTAAAGTCTTCCGCTGAAAATCATTGTAGTGCCTGCAAAATGGGCAAAATGACGTGAAGCTCCCACAAGTCAAAAACAGTACCATCATCTACTCACCAGCTGCAGTTAATTCACATGGATCTGTGTGGAACTATGAGAGTCCAAAGCATCAACGGTCGCAAATACACTCTGGTGATCGTTGATGACTTCTCTAGGTACACATGGACAAAATTTCTCCGCTCAAAGGACGAGGCAGCAGAAAACATTGTGACCTTTATCAGAACCATCCAGAAACTGCTACAACACAGTGTTCGAATAGTAAGAACTGACAATGGTACCGAGTTCAAAAATCAAGCTCTCACTGATTTCTATGAATCTCTCGGTATCACTCAGCAATTTGCAGCAGCTAAAACTCCCCAACAGAACGGAGTTGTTGAGAGAAAAAACAGGACTCTTGTTGAAGCAGCACGCACCATGTTAATTCAAACCAGACTGCCTCACTTCACTTCAACCAATCATTACTCCAACTCCTCTGGCTCATGAGAGGAAATGGACAAAAGCACATCCCGTTGATCAAATTATAGGTGATCCGAGTCAAGGTGTGCGCACAAGATCTGCCACGATGAATGAATGCCACTTCGCCTGTTTGCTAAGCCAGTCAGAACCATCAAAGGTCTCCGATGCACTACTTGATCCAGATTGGGTGATTGCGATGCAAGATGAACTCAATCAATTTGACAGACTGGATGTATGGACACTGGTACCTAAGCCACAGAAAAAGACTATCATTGGCATGAAGTGGATATTTAAAAATAAAAGGGATGAAGAAGGGACAGTTGTACGAAACAAGGCAAGGATGGTCGCAAAGGGATATAATCAACAGGAAGGCATAGACTATGATGAAACGTTCGCGCTCGTAGCTAGAATTGAATCAATCTGCCTCTTTCTTACGTACGCGGCGCACAAAAACTTCACTGTCTTTCAGATGGACGTGAAAACAGCTTTCCTAAATGGGACTTTAGAAGAAGAAGTCTATGTTGCTCAACCTGAAGGATTTGTAGATCCAAGATTTCCATATCATGTATACAAGCTCAAGAAAGCTCTCTATGGGCTGAAACAGGCACCCAGAGCTTGGTATGATGCCTTGACCGAATTTCTGGTTGATTCAGGTTTCTCCAAAGGTAAGATTGATACTACTCTGTTTATCAAGCGACAGAACTCTGACATCATTCTGATTCAGATCTATGTTGATGACATCATCTTTGCCTCATCCAATCCGCGTCTATGCAAACATTTCGAGAAACTGATGAAAACTAAGTTCGAGATGAGCATGATAGGTGAACTGAACTTCTTCCTAGGCTTGCAAGTACGACAACTCTCTGATGGCATTTTCATCAACCAGTCAAAATATATTCTGGAAATGCTAAAGAGATTCAACATTGACGGCAAATCTTCCATGATGACTCCTATGTCCCCAAATAATAAACTGGACTCAGACCCCTCCGGGAAGCCAGATCATGCTACAAATTACAGGGCCATCATTGGATCTTTGCTATATCTCACGTCAAGCAGGCCTGACATTGTCTTCTCCACATGCTTATGTGCTCGATTTCAAGCTAATCCGAAGGAATCTCATTTGACTGTTGTGCGTCGAATCTTACGATACCTTAAAGGCACTGTGAATCTAGGCCTTTGGTATCCCAAGCATTCAGGCTTTGACCTAGTCGGATATTTGGATGCTTATTTTGCTGGTTGCCAGATGGACCGCAAAAGTACATCGGGAGCCGCCCAGTTCTTGGGCGAGAAGTTAGTCTGCTGGTCTTCCAAAAAGCAGAATTGTGTGTCAACATCTACAGCTGAGGCCGAATACGTCGCGGCTGCTAGCTGTTGTTCACAAATATTATGGATGAAGACTCAGCTCAAAGACTACGGTTACACATTCGGCCATATCCCGATCTACGGTGACTCTCAAAGCGCCATCGCCATCACCAGCAATCCAGTTCACCACTCCCGCACCAAACACATTGATCTGCGCTATCACTTCATCAAGGATCACGTGGAGAAAGGAGATATTGATATGAAAAAATATTCCAGTTCCTAGTCTCCAAGTTGGGCATGTTGAACCTCGAGCCTGTTTAAATTTCATCTCCACTGGTCTGAAAAGTGTGTGTGTGGGACTTGTAAAAAGCGTGTGTGGGTGTGATCTGTAAATAGTGTGTGTGTGTGTTGCATGTGTCAAGGGGGAGATAACCCAAAAAGAACAAAAAATAGTGTGTGTGTGTTGCATGTGTCAAGGGGGAGAAAAACCCAAAAAGAACAAAAAATAGTGTGTGTGTGTTGCATTTGTACATAGTGTTCGTTTCATTCTGGTTGGGGGAGAAAAGCGACAATTTTTTCACTGTTTGAGAGGAAGCTCTAATTTTTACTGATATTGGGCCTCAAAAATCTTTTTAAATACACATTTTGTGCTAGCCCATAAATTCGGACTCAACTATTTCGGAAAAGGCCCAGACTTCTCGTGTTTATAAGCCTCGCGAAACCCTTCATCCTCCCATTCTTAAACTTTTTCGCAAACCAGAGGCACGGAATATTTTTCGCAAACCAGAGCTCCTCAGAACAGTTCAACTTCTTCCCGACATCTCTCCTTCTTCTGCTTCCCATTTCGACTCTCCCTACGAAGGTAGTTCATCGAATCATCTTCGTCTTCTCCATCGAATTCGTTGGAGGCCGAAATTAAAATCCCATCTCGAAATCGTTCGTCACAAAATCAAAAAAAAGGGGTTTTAAGTTTAATCGTGAGGTCGAAATCGTTTTGTATAATGGTTATACGTTTCTGTTATGTATGTATTTGCAGGTGGGATCGTCTTTTCGAGCTTTACGATCTCGAGCTTAAGTTCTCCAGATCTCGAGTTCGTCGATTCGTCTTCGAGAGAGATCTCGAGATTGGAATCTCGAAATCTTGATCTCGAGATTTGAATCTCGAAATCTTGATCTCGAGATTTGAATCTCGAAATCTTAATCTCGAGATTTGAATCTCGAAATCTTGATCTCGAGATTATGAATCTCGAAATCTTGATTTCGAGATTTGGATCTCGAGATTTTGACTTACATTTTTTCCAAAAAGCCCACCTGCACCCATTGTCTGAAACTTACAATCATGCTCAGCGCTACGAAATCACACCTCAAGGTTTGGCCACCGACTTCCACCTCACATGATGGATAATAACAAGTTCTCTCAACATCATCCCCTAGTGGTGTTGATACCACTAGAGTTTGTATCATTGTTATCGAATGTATCCCTAAGCCTTTGGCGAACGTCTCACTCACGAATGAACGTTGCGCCCCGGTATCGATAAGGATTCGCGCATCCTTCCCATTAATCTTTAGTGTTCCTGCAACGGAATCCGGATTAGCCTGAGAATCCGCCTCCGTCATCGCATAGACTCTAGCTTGAGTTCTTCCTTGATTCACGGACGGCGCGTTGCTCGCGCTTGCTCCTCCTTGCCCCCTGGACGCTTGTGAGGCCCCAGCTTGATTCCGTGTCCCGGTAGTACCACTACTTGGTCCTGATGCCCTCCTTCCGCCCAGTTGTGGGCAACTCATCTTCATGTGCCCGGTGCTCCCGCATTGGTAGCATCTAGAAGGGGCACGACATTTTCCCGGGTGGTTCCTCTTTCAATTTTTGCAACGAGTCGCCCCCGAGGCTTGTGATTGCCCGTCCGGGCCTTGGCTTCCCCTAGATGGCAGTGGGGTGCCCGAAAGGATCCTCTTCCTCCATGATTCCCCTTTTTGTTAGGACCTTGAGGTCCATGGCTCTCCCACTTGTTGGTCCTGTTTGTAATGGGAACAGTCTAGAGGGGGGGTGAATAGACTGTTCAGGGATTTAAACTTTTCTCTAAGTCAAGTCTGACTTATCAGAGATGGTCGAAATCTTGTGACAGAGATGGTCAAGTTCTGATGGCAGAACTAGACCAGGCAGCAAATAAGTTTCTGTCCGGGTAGCCTCAAGAGAAAAGCTAAGGCAAAGTGCCTTTCTGATAACTCAGAAGGAAGATCTGTTGGACACAGAGTCCAACCTTAAGAGTTAATCAGTAGAATCTTAAGTGCAGGAATTAAAAGCTCAAAGTAAATGACACCGGGGTTTTTATAGTGGTTCAAGGAACAACTTGTTCCTCTAGTCCACTGTTCCACTAAGCTTGCAAAAACAACTGTTTACAACGCCTTAGTCCCTAGAACTTAAGAAGCACTCCTCGTCTTCTTCAAGTCTAGTTGCCACCCGGGATGCAATCCTGCTTCCTGATGGCTGGTCTCGTTTCACTGAGTCTCTTGAAGTATCCCCACTTCACTTACTCCAGTTAGTTTGAGACGTCCCTTCTTTTTCAAGAAGTGTGTGATATAAAATCAGTTTTCTCCAACGTTACTTCTTCACAAAGGATGATTAGATGAAGCTTTCAAAGTGTTGAAGAACTGAGTAACTTTGCAGCTTTGCTAGTTGGATAAGGGATTAGAAAATCTATCTTCCAACTGTAGCCTTTTCTTGTTAAGGATGAAGTTTGAATCTCAAGAAGGCTTTGAGCAAGTTCGTTTGGCAGATATTGTAGCAAAGTTCTTTTACGCAAAGTTATCCTCTTAGTTCTTCAGAGTGTATCTTATATACTGGGAGCAGTCTTCCCGTTGGAGTGTAGAAGACAGCTTCATTAAATGCATGTACTGTTGACTTGACCGGTTGGACCTTCGACTTGCTATTTTGGGGGCGTGAAGATACTCGCATGGTCAATCATCAGCTTTAAATATCTCTTCGTACGTACAGCATTAAATGTGCATTTAATGCGTGTACAGTGCCATCTTTCCGTTGAAAGGTTCGTAACCGTTAGGGGATTTCCCGTTAGTTTAACGACCGTTGGAAAGTGCTTCCGGAATCTGGTGTGTTTAGCAGAGTCTTAAGAGGCTCTCTGGTCCAATCTCTGAAGTCCGCCTCTGTTGCCAACTCTGGTATCTTTCTGATGACCAGTTTCTGATGGCTTCTCTGGTGAGCAACTCTGGGAGCAACTCTGGTAGAAGCAAAGCGGTTCTCTGGCAGACAGACTAAGCTAAAACTTACAAAAGAAATTCTAATACAAAATTTCTAATGGGGTACTTCCAAATTCTAATTAACCTAGCATCATCAAAATCTAAATACATTTATTCCTTACAATTTCCCCCTTTTTGATGATGCCAAAACCCTTTAACTATTTCCAGAGAAGTGCCTTTCACCAACAGAGATTTGAAATAGAGTTTTGTCAACCTTTCCTTTAGTAAACCTTTCCTTGGGCTTTGATTGGTATCTGGCACAGATTCCAACAGAGAACGAGATGTCTGGTCTGCTTGCAGTTAGATACAACAGAGATCCTATGATCCCTCTGTATGTTGTTGCATCTACATCCTTTCCTTCATCATCTGGACCAATCCCTTGTGAAGTGTTCATGGGAATCTTCACTGATGATTTGCCTTCCACTCCAAACTTCTTGATCAGATCTCTGGTGTACTTCCCTTGATTGATAAAGATCCCTTCTGGAACTTGTTTGACTTGGAGTCCTAGGAAGTAACTGAGTTCTCCCATCATACTCATTTCAAATTGACTCTGCATCACTTGAGAAAATTTCTTGCACAGTTCTGAATTAGTACTACCAAAAATAATGTCATCAACATATATTTGTACTAACAGAATATGATTAGCAACAGAGATTTGAAATAGAGTTTTGTCAACCTTTCCTTTAGTAAACCC